TGACAGATTCAAGAAGAAAGGAAGAAACTACTAATTGTTCATATCTTCCTCCAACTCAATATAAGCCAAATTGCAAAAACAGGCTGCTTTTCTCAATCCTCTCTCATTCTCCCAGAAAAACCCCAAACCAGAACAAGATTTATCCTTACAAAAGCAGCTAGAGGAACGAAATAACAGCAGAAACAAGATTTCAATAAAAACTGTTTCAGAATTTCCATATAAACTGCATTAACTAAATGTGATGATAGTTTTTCAGAATCCAAGTAGTCCTTCAAAGAATTGGAATTTTATTGCTCTACTTTTTAGCCAGTGTGTCAGTTCAATAGAGAATATTCCCCGAGATGCCCATTGCAGCTTTATCTTGGGAATTAATTAAAATTTGATAAGGTATTCTTGTGATGGTCAGGCTTTCAAAAAATGAATTTTAAGGTTGCACTAGAACCAAAAAAGTAAAGGGCTAAACAGATGTGTGAAGTCTTTTCAAAATCTATGGATTACCCATATGCTATATCCATCTGGTCAGATTCACCTCCTTTTTATGACTGAACAAATTTTTTACTTCATTTCAATGACTAATTAAATTCAATATTACACAGTGTAAAATGGAATAATATTCTGGCCTTTCTTAAATCTAATTTACTTTCACTTATTTTAATACTACTTTTAGGTTGTAACAGTAAAATTTAACCCACATGCATCATCGGCTAGGGAAAGGTGCAGGCAAAGTTGGTCTTTGGGATACTGTAAGTTGTGAGCCCAAGGTTTATTAAGCATTTCACCTTTTAATTTCTATATAACATTGTTTTATCAAAAGTGAAATTTTTCATAAAAGAAGATTATTTGTGTTGGGAGTGGTGTTTAAAGGGGCGTTGGTTTTGTCTCCTGGGTTTAGCCACACAAAGAAGCGAAGAAATAGCAGCAAGGCAGAGATTTCTGTGAATGTGAAGAAGAGAAGAAGAAATGCGCGGCACAAGTTCCCAAGCAGGAGGGCCACTTCTGGTGACAGCACTTTGCACAGAAGAGCTGCCATTAAACATTTTGCCAGTGAAGAATCTTGGTCTCATTTTTCCTGATGCTTTAGTGACAAGAAATATGGTTTAACTTTCAGATAATAGTCTTTGGGAGTGGGGGAATAAAGGTGATGAGGGTATGAAAGATGCTGGAATCCCTTCAAATAGTGATCAGATAGTTTGATTACCATTGTAAATTTAGATATGGAAGAAGGGGTGAGTTGGCTCAGCCTGCCCAGCATGGTACCTGGTCTCTGACAGCATCTAATAGTAGATAGGAAAACAAAATCAAATTGTAGGTTTTTTCCTTTCAAATGGACTCCCAGCCCCTTGTGCACTGCTACTCCCTAAGTCTTTTATTTAACCCTCCTGGACAGCTGTGCTTTCCATTAGTGGATATCCCCAGTTGCTTTTGAATCTATGAAAAACATAAACTTCCACAATGCCCACAGGAATGAGCTCAAAGCTCAGCCACAGTAGTAGAAAAGATATCTTTTAACAGTCCTGTCTCAGAGTTGTCAGTAATCACAACAATCAAACAATCACACAATCATGAGGCTTAATAGGGAAGGCAAGGCATGACAAAACAACCACACCCCACCAGATTTTGAACAGGTACAGGAACAACAATAATTTAGATCTTAGGGAAGTGTGCTGAATCAGGGTGTGATACAAATCTAGCTGCAACACACACTTTGCCTTGAAACTCAGAAATCCCAGTGAGAAACTCTGCAAAGGCCCAGGGGAGTGTAATAGATGCAATTTTAAAAGTACAGCACCTTTGAAGTTCAGCCTGAGCTGAAGCTACCACTTCCAGAAGTGTCTGAGGCCTGTCTGGAGGCAAGGAGGTGAGTAGAGGACAGACATCCTCAGGAGGAGGAACACAGGGTGAGATGTGGGACATCACTCTTACACGGCAAACTCTGATCTCGTGATGACTGGCCCTGAGAGCACTCATTTGTTTCAGTTAAATCATCAAAAAGGTATAGGAAAATGTAATGACACACATATATCACCGACCCAATCTGCATTCATTTTGCAAACATAAAAGCAAAAGGCTTAGAACATATTAATCTATGATTCTCTGGCACTTCAAGAGTGCCTGAAACATCCATTCTTAGGGGCATGAAGTTTTCAATGGCTGATCTATGTCTTGTCAATTCTAAATCAGAAATAATGAGGCAAATCAGTTACATCTAGGCTGGTGCAATTTTTTTTTTTCTCCTCTCCTTTGGAACCAATTACCAAAGTAACTCTGAAACAGCTAATGTGAAATACAGTCTTGCCAATCAGCAGATTTTCCAGGAGCATCCATCAGTCAGCTGTCTGCAGCTCTGAGATGGAGCTTAACTCTCTCTAAATTAATAAAGAAACCATCTGGAAAACACTTTTCTCCTGCAAGAAGCAAAGACATGCTGGGTGTTCACTAGTGTCATTGCAAAGCGTTTGTGGAATGTCAGGAGCAATGGAAATTGTTTCATATATTTACCTGTGTTCTCACAGCCCTTAATTTGAATTTCACTATGATTTTTTGTCTCCTTTGCTGGACTTGAATTCCGACCTTGAGGCATGACCACAGCATAGTACAGAGGGTTCAGCTCAGATGTGAGGAGGTTAGTTCACGGCAAATCCCAGCCCTGTCCATTCATGAGCCCGTGAGGGAAGGCACCACAGGACCCCAAACCAGTGCAGGGCAGAGCAGTGTGCCCTCATGAAGCCAAATGCAAAGAAGACCAGAACAGAAGCATGCAAAAAAGGAGGAGAAATGGAACAAGAGTGAAGGGCATGGATAACAAAAATGTAGAGAGCAGAGCTTAATTTCTAGATGCCAGTCTGACAGATGTAAAATACATATATAAAACACAAATTCAATTGCTAGTCCATCATAGGATAAGTCTGCACTAATGAAAAAGAAACTTTCTTCAAAAGAGTTTCCTGTGTCTCTTCACTCTAGAGTGATTAAGCAGCTGGAAAATTCTTAGCACCCTCTTCTGAGGAACAAGGGCCATGGAACAAAACTTTTGCAGGTTTCTTGAAGGAAACTGAAAATATACCAAACTATCACCAACTATATATTCCCATGTTTAGTTTTATTGCCCTCCTATATGTGTTCATGTTTTCATTGGTGCTTTTCCAAACGTTTTCTAAGATAATGCATTTTTATATCAAAATATGCCAGAAATGGGTTCACTCTCACACAGTTTTAGGAAAAAAACCTAATTTTTATTTGAGTATGTTCAACTAAAATTAATAGCCAGTGCATGCAAAGCAGTTGAAAAGAGGTAAGACTTTCACTGTAAAAGCTCCTGGTGGTAACATAAAATGGACTAATGTACCTATTAGGCTCATCACACTTGGAAGATTCCAGAGTCTGCATAGATTTATTTCCTCTTGGCACAAAGCCTGGACATTTAGATGGACATTTAAAAGGATTTGCAATTCAGACAGCTTTAAAACTACTCAAAAAACCCACCCCATATATGATTGGAGGCGCATCTATTTCTAAACAGGAAGTTGACTGAGCAGTTTTAGTGGTCTATCCTCTATATTCATACAAGATTCTCATATGAAAGTCATGTAAGACATTGTAGCTATCTTGATATTTTCCTCTTGTGTGTATTGCACTAAGCACACTTTGAAACAGTAATCTAAGGTTTAGTTATATTACAATTTTTGTTATAAAATAATACAGAATCTATGGTGCAAAGGAAATAATTAGTCTGAATTGTCCTCTTATAAATGAGAACAATCAATGTTTTTCCCCTAAGAAAAAGAAATAATTCCTTTCTAGAGAGTAGGATGTAGGCAGGATGCTGTAACATTCCATTTAAATACATTCCACTAACCAAAATTGGTATTGGATGCACAGGCTTTATAAAATTTACCAAGTCCCAGGTCAGTTGCTGAGATCAGAAAGGCCCTTTTTTTGATGTTGCCGTTTTTTTTTTTTATATAGCTTAGTCTACCCTTTAGAGGGTCAAATTTACAATTCACCTTTAAATTTCAGTGAACCCAAGGATTTTTGCTGATCCTCTGCCCAACACAAGCCAGAGTTTTAGGAACACACACTTTAAAAAAATCCATTTCTCACATGCTTTTTTCTTTTCTTCCTAAAGGACATGTTTCTTCAATGCAGAAGATTGGAAAGCATTCATTGTTTTCTACCTCACTATTTAGCTAATATACTCAAATTTCCAGTTAAATGGATTTGATTAACACAAAAACCCAGTTACATTCATAGACTAATAGAAGTACTTCAGTTGGAAAACCCCTCTAAAATCATCAAGTACAACCATTCCCCCAAGCACTGGTGGCATATTCCCAAAGGCTACATGTCTTTTAAATCCCTCCCTGAAGGGACTGGGATTCCACCACTGCCCTGGTTGTCTGTGCCAGGGTTGGACAGCTCTTTCAATGAAGAAATGTTCTGTAATATCCAATCTAAGCTTCACCTATCACAACTTTAGACATTTTCTCTCACCCTGTCAAGTTGCCAACAGATGGTTTTTCCTCAACAGGAGAGGTTTTTTTCTATTTCCTGAAAGCTCTTGCTAACTGCCGTTAAAATGTACCTCAGGGAAAAAGACTGACTTTTTTCCCAGATGCACACATAGAACCATTGACCCAAACTGTATCTTCTACAGTGTCAGAGAGAACAACCACATCTAATTTATACCCACAGTTCCTTGGTATTCACTGTGATAAAACTCATTTTGACAAAAAGTCACCCTGTGATTTTCCTCCATGATTTTTAAACAACCACTTTTCAGTAGAGCTGTAAATGGAAGATTTCTCTTTGCACAAGACTATAAGTAAAGTCAGCAAACTGTCAGCTCTGGCAGATTGTGCCTGGTCTCTGTAATTGAGTTTGATTAAGAGTTTTGTTGCCATCACTGGCTTTATTCCCTTCCTATGTAAACATTTTACATCTTCTTATTGTTAAATATTGTTTTGCTTTGGTAGAGCTGCCACAGAAGATGAACATTCAAATATAGAATTAATGAACATTGATGTCATTGTGTTGAAAGGAACATAAGGTTGGGAGGGGGAAAAGAGACATTCTAATTATTGGAGTGTTTGGTAGGAGTTTATTTTACAAACACTATCATTATGTTGACAACAGTGAGTCAATATGTTCCACTAGGCTTTTGTTGCTTTTAGGAATGGGAGGATGGAGCATGGATGCTGTTTGCTTCATAGCATACATACCATTTTGAGGTCACAAGCAGATCCGGCTGCCTGCAAATGGAAAGAAAAAAAAAAATATTCTGCTTCCTGGTATCTCACCACCATTTAGATAATTTAAACCAAGTGGGAAAAATCCAGCTAAGAGTCATGGCTGTGCTGATCACAGAATTTGGTTTGAAGGGGCTTTAAAACTCATCTTGTTCCAACCCCTGCCATCAGCAGGGGCACCTTCCACTAGACCAATTTTCTCCAAGTCTCATTCCATCCTCAAAGGATGAGCAGTACAGAAAGGATTTCAGGGCTCTCCACAGACATGCTCACGTACATGACCCTTCCATATCAGATGCAAGATTCAGTGCAACAACTCTGACACCGAGACTTCTTGGAGCAGCACTCAGAGATCAACTGACTCAATCCCCTGAATTCACTGCAACAAAAATAAGAGTGAAAGATATTAATCTTCTAGTAGTGAAGAGAGGAAGATATTTTGGAAAGCACACATTAAAATATCCTTAAACTCCTGAAATAAAGATGATGTCATTTTCTTTTAAGATGTTGAAAGCTTTGGTCTTCCTTGGAAGGACAAGCAGTTCCTTGTAAATGAATTGTTTTTACCAGCAGTTTACATTTAAGTTGTGTGTCTCAATATAACAGAGACATCCAAATTAGAAACATGTCTTTGAACAAAACTGCTCAGATCTCTTTTATAATGAAAAGAATTGCCACAGGGGATTTCTTAGGAGAAGTATTTTTTTCTATTTTAAAAAACTTTAAAATACATGTAAAAAATCTGCAAGGTTGTGCCTAAATTACTTTTCTATAAATGTGTGTCAGGAAATAAAAGAGCTCTGACAAATCGATATGGGAGAGAAACAGAACCACTTTTAAATTTCCTATCAAAAGTGCTCAACAGCTGTTTTCAAATTAATTACTCTCCATGATGTCTGTGCTTGCATTACCAGACATTGTTTTCTACCCTCCTGAATTATGGCCAGGTCTTCCAAAATATATTCTGCTAAATGCTTCAATGAAGCCACAGGAATTATTTCTCCATAAATTAATCCCCACATATATTTTGTGCTTAATAAAAATTAGGTATCCTATAGGGCTGTAGAAATAAACCGTACCAAATTAGTTTCTTTAGTAGAGTGGCTGAATAAATGGCATTTCTTACCCCAGTGGCAGCTCCATTACACCCAGGTTGAGGTCATACTTTCTCGTTAATGAGGTGGCTGTAACGAGGCCCAAAACAGGATAAATAGAGAGGGAGTCTTCAATCAGCTGAAGTTTGTTCTCATATCAGTGCACTGCAGGCATACCTAGTTAGCTTGCCATTAGTGTTAATCAAGCATGGTAGTTGTGCATCAGCTGGGAGTTAAACCTTAGCCTGCAATTTTGTACCATTTGGAGCCTTTGATTTAATTTCTTGCACTGAGTATCAATCCATGGATAGGTCTGAGTTGATTTGTAGCCACAGTGATTAGATCACTGTAACTGATAGATGATTAATCAATAGCAATGCTGCAATTCATCAGTGTCACATTTATGAACTGCATGCTAATTAATTTTGTCTTTGCCTTGATTTCTTTTGAAACACATAAGAGTTCACATTTTGATTATTATTTGTGGTTTTAACTAGAAAATCTAAACCTGGGCAAATGTGGTGTGGCTAAGCAAGTCAAACAAGGAAATCCCCACAGAGATGACAGGACCTGTTTGGTACTCCAGGATGGTGTTCCTGACCCAGCTGCTGTTCACACTGGTAGAAGGGCAGACCCAGAGCTTTCTGAAGGGAAGGAGCCAGACCTGTGAAGAAAAGCCAGCTCTGGGCAGCCAGGTCATGGGATATGTCCCTTGGATGTTGCATTTCTAAGCAGCAAAGCCACCTCAACAGATACAACCTGGGCAGGGAACCTCCTTGCTATGGCAGTGCCAGCTAGCCAGTTTGTGTCACTGAATTCCATGCAAAAAACAAATTTTGACAAAAATAATAATAATCCCTCCCTTGGAATAATGATGGAAATACCACAGATGGCTGCTTCTACACGCAGCCCTCAGAGGGCAGAGACTGTAATCAGCCAAACACACATGGCTTCAATAGTTGACAGCAGCAGCCAAACATCAAAATGGGTGATCAGCCACCCTCCAGGAGGACAAAGTGCAGATTCTCCTGGCTGCTTTTTTCTCTGGGAGCCAGAGGAGTAAATGTTGCAGCTAAAACTCTAACTGGTTGAAATCCCTATAAGGAGAGCAGGAGAAGACAGGAGAGAGTGACAGGGACCAGCTGAATTTCTTTGAAGCTGGTGTTGTCAGTGCTGTGGAAGTGCTCCCCATCATGTGTTCCTGACTTGTGAGTCAAAGGAATGGCACAGGGTGGAGCAGAACCAAGCACACCCTACATTAACACTAACTTGTTTTACTCTTTCTCATCATTTATTTAAAAATGAACACAAATCAATTGACAACATTTCTTCAGAGTGGGAAAGAAAGCTCAATAGTAAATCTTATTTGGACTCCAAAATATTTCAAAGAAAAGCCTGAAAGAGCAATTTTTTATGATTATTATTTGTAATTGTTACATATCATATACAAACTAAGGGCACTTTCTTAAACCATTTGCACTATGTTTAAATTTAATACCACACTTCACCACTTCTCCCAAGACAATCTAGTGCCCCAGAACTGGATTTACAATAATGTATAGATACAGTGTAATTGTTTTTTTAAATGGCTGCAATTGAAGAGGAAAAATAATAAATAAAAAATAGCCTGTTTAGGGTGCTTGGAAAAGGTGCAGCGCTGTTGGAAGAGCAAATTAATTTGGATTTATCTCCAGAGACAAGGAATTAATCTCATTTGTATCCTGATCATTATGCACTGTGCCTAGCTGGGATAAATATTTTTAAAATATAGATGTCAGCCTTTGCTGTGTGACTGAAATGTATATTTGCCACGAAAGCACTCGACTGATGTCACCAGCCCCTCTTCACAGCCATACACCCACAGGCCAGCCCTGACAACCTGGTTCTGGTTCAGATCCATAGCCTTGGGCTCTTCTGGACAGTGCTTTGGCTTCAAATTTAAATATGTGTTGAAAGCAGAGCTTTGGCAAGATTAACCGTTATTATATTGCTTTCCAACCTGATTATTATCCATCCAAGAACTCACTTGAGCAGATACAGTGACATCATATATATATATGTATATATATATATTTACGATATACATGTGATTCTATTTGATTGAAGGATTGTGTTTCAAGCACAAAGAATTGGCATTATGAAACTATATATTTATATTTGCAAATAGAGGGTGTAAGAACCACAGATACAAAAGAGTATTACAAGCTAAAGAGAATTGATGGCAAACGGGCAAACAACACACATTGGGTCACATTGCCAGAAGTGGGATTTTAAATGTGGGGAAGCCTAATTAATTGTAAAATGCATTTGCTGACTGAAAATTTAAATCATAGTACATGTAATAGCAGAATCTGAAACAAATATTCCAGGAGGATTTTTTTACAAGTCTGTGCTACTATGAAGCTTTTTAATCTGTTTTTATGTTTTTGTTTTTTTTTTTTCATTGAATTTTCCTCTTTAGCCTTTTATTTTGTTCCTGTTATTCACTCTTGCAATTTTTTTTAGCTCACTTGTTGCCAACACAATGAGAATTGTGTAGAAAAATTGTTACTCCATTTTGTATAATGGAACCAGAGCAGGAGAACATTAAGTCCCCCTGATTTTTAAGATTTACATAGGCAGCTTACAGTAAAAACCTAAAATAACACCCAGATTTCCTGAAGCCAAATTCAGGTCTTTAACCACAATGCTTTGCAACCCAATAGGGATTTTTATTCCTCTTTAATGAGCTGTTGTATCAACATTAACAAATATTACAGTTAAATTCCAGTCAAACATACAGAAGCAAAGCAAACATCAGGTCATTGTTAACAGCCTGAGGGTGGTGTCTCACATAAAAGAAACTCTGCAATGAGTTTGAGGATATATAAAAGTCTGGAACACCAAATCCAAGCAATAGAAACACAAGGAGAAATGAAAGGTGGTCATGAAGTTGGATGGTGAGGAAAATCGCCTTCTCAGTCTTGACCAAGAAAAAGTTTGATTTGATCAATCTGAAATAATCTGCAAAAGAGAGGGTAACTGACAGTCAGCTCTTTAATACAAGAAAGAGGAAACATAATGAGTTTCAAAGGTTCATGGTAGAAGATAAATTCAAACTACATATTGCTTCATTTCTTTAACACTGAAAGTTATAAACCACTGGAACATGTTGTCATAGATCATGATGGATTCACTTTTGCTTGAAGTCTTAAATCAAGACTAAATACTTTTATAAAAAGATATCTAGCAGCTTAACCAGATGTTATATACCTCAGAAAATAATAACAAGTTGAAATTGTTTTTGTGTGTGCTATGTGGGAAGACACACACTGCCTTCACAGTGGTGTGCTTCAGTTTTAGGTGCACTATAACTGTCCTGTGGTAAGCACCAACACCTGCAGCCAGGTACCCTGCTCAGATTCTGTGGCAGATGCAGTTTCTGGTATGAGACCAGAGCAGGCATGTTTGGAAATCATATAAGCAGAAACAGCTCACATACCTGAACAGCAGTCCAAGAGATGAGCAGGGAAGGATAACAGATCCCTTGGGAGGTATTTTGACAAGAAACCAGTTGCTAGAATATTTGGCCATCCTGAAATTTGGTCCCTTCCCATACTTAAGGGACAGCCGAGAAACATAGTAGTGTAGCATAATATAGTAGTTTATGCAGGAAGAGTAATCCTCTCACCTCCTGCTGCTGGATTGGAGTGGGAGTAGGAGCTAGGGGCTCAGCAAACACTAGGGCTTACCTGCTTGCCTGTATCTGATCTGATCAGGTCACAAAACATGTACACACCATGGAATAGAACCATACAATGGCTTGGGTTGGAAGGGATGAGTTATGCCCATCTACTTCCACCCCTGCCATGGGCAGGGACCATTTCCACTATCCCAAAGATCTGTCTAAACTTGCCTTGAACACTTTTTTTTTTTTTTTTCCAGGGATGGACATCCACAACTTCTCTGGGTAACTTCTGCCAGTCTCTGACCAGCTGAGATTAATTTTGTAAAATTAGGGACTTAGTACTAAGATGATCAGTTGCAATACTACCTTGTATTATAAGCTTGAAGTTTAAGATTACAGGCTATTTTTCTTACACAGAGACTTGTTTGTTTAAAAATAATTGTAGGAAGGCTGTTTTCTCCTGCTTAGATAGCAGCATCAAGGGTTCTTGCATTTCACTGAAATGTTGATGAGTATTTCTCTCTCCATCTTAATTAAATTTGGATTCCAATTACGAGATGGCAGATACTCCATTTCTTGTTCTGGCTGAGGTCTCTCATGTTGTTTATGTCCCACCTTTGGGGAGGTTGTTACACCTGCTAATTTCTTCTTGGGAAAGGCATAAATAGAGTGCACACTCTTTCTGGGTTTGCATTATTTGTGTAGATATTGCTAGAAATGTAGGGAGTGCTTTACCAGTGCACTGAGGTCTGAACTGGGATTTCATTTCACAGAGGATTTACTAATATCTCCTGTGCTGCACTGAATGTCATTCCCAAATGTCTTGTAGACAAGAACTGACCAGAATTCTTTTTGGCTAGTGTTTTTTTCACCAACTGGAACAGTTTTATTAAAATCAGTATATCTGGGGTGTGGGTATCTGTGTGGAGGGAGGAGGTAGGTGAATTTATCTTCCCAACTCAGATTCCTCAGACAGGCTTCGTGGTTCTTCCAGGGACTGTCCCAGCAGTGACTGTCACTAATCCTAGACAGCTTCAATATCTCCTCTTTTTCCCTTCCAGGTATATCTCAAAGGTTCATATTCCAGTGGAGAATATATTGTATTTCAAAATGCTTCTTAAGAATTAAATCTTTTACCTTTCTGGCTAAAGATAAGGGTGAGAAGAACAGGTCATCACCCTAGCAGCTCCCACCACTGCCCTATCACTTTTTTTCAAAGTTGTATTTGATCCCAATTCCCACTTGGATGTTGTCTGGTGGAAACAGCATTTCTAATATTTGAGAAATCTCAACAAACTGTTTGTTTAACTGTCAAAAAAAAAAAAAAGCTGAAATTTTTCTCCCATCATCACTCAGGGCCTTTTAGCCTGTTCTGCTCTGTGGTGGCTACACTGGAGCAGCACAAGGATTTTCTCTCC